GGCTTGCTCTCAACTGCCAAACCCACATATTTTCCATCAATCATTAAGTCTTGCATTAAAATCCAGAGATCTGGCATTAGGATGTGGCACAGGACAGGGTGGAGTGACAGCCTCCAGGCCTCCTGTTGCTCCCGGACATCTTGGGGTATGAACTGCTACCCACTGGGCTGAACAGGGAAATAAACCAAGATAATAAAATAAAATAACAGCTCTCAGCATTTGTTGCTAATTAGTATTAGAACAGCTTCGGGTGGGGAAGATGAAACTGAGTTATCCCTGAAAAAGGTCAAAACCAGTCATCTATGGGGGTATTGGCACCCCTAGCCCAAATCTCAGAGTGTGCATCTAAAGCTGGGTAGGCTGCAAGCCAGACTTAGACATTTGTTTTATGACAGAGCTTACAGGTTAAAAATGCTTTTGGCTACTTCACTCCTCGGTGCCCAAGGCCAGCGTCTTTCCTTTCCCCGGGCAGTGTGAGTGAGTTTCCACCGAGAGGTCTGGGACTCCAAACTGGAGGCAACACACTCCTGCTGACTTGTCGAGGAAGTAAGCTACAAGGGGCAGCGGGAAGGAGAGCTGCACATCTCTGAATGGCAACCCTGAGGAGTGGGTAAGCTTCAGCTGGCATTATTTTCCCATTGGAAAATGGGAAGTGATTGGAGTAGCGTTCTCAGCAATGCAAGCCATCTCCTGTTTGTGATCACTCAACTTTCTCAATACACAGAGACACCAAGAACCTGTAGCAAAACCCTTGAAGTGAACCTCTCAGATTAGTTGGAGACAGCCTACCTCTCACCAGGCCAGCTTGCACTCTCTTTGCAGTTTTTCTCTCAAACAGCTGCCTCCCAGCTGGTTTTGAGGTCTCTTAACTGTCTCCCTCCACTTATTTGCACAAACTGTCTGGCAGGTTGAGGATCCCACTAGATGGCAGGACAGTTTAAGCCCTTGCTATTTCTACCCAAACCATTTCAGCAAGTGCCCTGGAACCCCAGTGGGCTCAGCCTCCCCTGGCCTGTTGCTGTGTGGACCCTGGGGAACCCCCACACACCATGGTTTGTCTGGGGCTTATGCTTGCTGAGCAAAGCAAATACAGCCTATGCCAAACCGGTGGAGAAATCCATGCAGAAATCGCTGTTCAATTTATTTTCATGGGCTTTATCACACATAGAGCACCGGTAGACAGAAGAGAGGGGTAAGAACTAGTCCCAAGTAATTTGCTAAATCTTGAAGTATTCCTCTTCGTATGTGTGATACATAAAGGGTATTTGGAATCCTGATGGTGAAGTACAGTTTAAACCTCTTCTAGCCACTGCTCCATTGTAATTTTTAACTAATGCAAGTGCAGTTATATTATTTTGTATGAACAAATGTATGAAAGCTGCACAACAGAGAAGCGGCCACCGTGGGTCAGATCATAGGTCCATGTAACTGAATACAATGTCTTGGATAGTGAAAACATATATGACATTTTCACTGACTAGCCACCTTGCCTCCAAGCACTTGTGTTCATGAACCTTCTGAGTTGGGAGAAATTTTCTGTATGATTAGTAACTCATGACTTAAAACTAAAGTTATATATAATTCACACTGTAGTTAGTATAAAACCGATCTTTGTGTTCAGTGACAACTGGATCTGGCCTGTACATTGCTGTACTAGCAATGATTTGGAAGTTTCTTTTAAAACATACTACTTTGCAAACTGCTTTGCCACTCATTTCATCCATCCAAGCTCAGCCTACACAGTATTAAACCAGAATGATGGTATATGGCACAGGTGGAGATAGCTGTATGAAGAATCATAGCAAATAAGCTTAATTTAAAAAAATGTTTAATTACTTCTCTTCATCTCTCTAAATGAGAACATTCTAATAATCAGTCCCCTACCTCAAAACCTATTTAGTCCTTTATTGCCTTCCAGATAACAAATTGAACATTCCTGTTTTATAGCAACAAAAGATGTGCCTCAGCATGATGCACCTCTTACATGAAGCTTCTGATGAAGGGCTGACCCAAAGAAAATTACCTTCTTAATGACATCTTTAAAAGATTGAGGCCAATTTTCTCTATTTTCAAAGTACCTGAATTGTTTTATATATGCACATGTATGTAACTTATATATATAAGTTACAAGGGTATTTTCTGCTTTTTTTTTTCTTTTCTTTTTTTAATATGCAGAGTGGCTAAGAATGAATAATTGCTTCATTAGTTTGGAGACAACAAAGTTATCTTTTTTGCTTGGCACTAAAATGAATTTCTTTGTTCTTTAAAAGCCCAGGATAGTACTGTAAGCTGATGAAAAAGATACTATTACCTGTGCCACACTTGCTGGAATGGAAATTGGGATTAATGCATTTTAATACCAGATTAGCCTTAATAGAAGTTTGCCACCGTTATTTATCAAGGTAATTAAGTATGTACCTAATTTTAGGCACTAAGTCATTCTACTGACTTCTGTAAAACTAGTCTGTATTTAAAGTTAAGCATGTTTTAAAACTGTCTGCTGATTTTGGGCCATAACTTTGTTACCCTGTGGATTAAGAGAATGCACTGTCATCAGTTACCCATTAGCTGAACTAATGGGAGAGTGGTATAGCCTGGATAATGGTTGAAACTGGATAAACTGGATCAGTGAGAAACATATTCGGAAGCACTTAATTTGCTCTTTACAGGCTCAGCCAAAGTTTAGTAGGAGTATTACCTATCTTCAAGATACTAACAAGAAAATGAACCACAGCTTTCTTTAAAATGAACCCTGATTAAACCCCAGGCTACTGGACAACATGGCATAGAGACCCCCAGACAGCAATAAAGGGGCTAGCTCCTGTCTGGTTGAGTCAAGCATAATACACAACTAATAAATTCTTCTGGACAGTTTATATGGCACAATATCTCCCACATCAACTAGTGTTTGTGGTTCTGTTTATACTGGTCAGAAATATGCATCTGGCTCAGAACTGGAAAGGTTTGTTTGACAAAATCCAGGGCATAACTACATATTCTATGTCTGAACTAACTACAGTAGAGCTCTCTCATGCAGCCTAGACTAGTTAGTTGTTTAGACACGAACTGTACATGCATGTGGCAAAGAAGTATTTCTGCATCTGTAACTTGGTTAATCTGCAACTATATAATACACAGGCAAATGAGGACTAGAATATGTGACCCACATATTATAGATCAAAAGTATTCATTCTACTTTTAATTGAGTTGCATTTTAAATCTGTCAGTCTTTACTTCAGTCTTTACTTCTTACACAGTTTTTCTAATTTTCTGTTAAAATTCTTCTTTCTACAGTGTTTTCTCATTGACAGGTTCATAGAGCTGAAGTACAAAGTAAGCACCCATTTTCCAGAGTGCTGAGCACTCTGACCAGTTCTAAGCTGTATGTCTGTGAGCAGTAAACTCCCTGTATGTATATAGCTGTGGAACGTTTTTTATGCAGAATTTAGCACATGAATAATTTGCTAAATTCAGATGGTTCAGAACTGGTGCTTTAATAGTAAAAAACTTCAAAGCATCTTAGGCTAACAAAATCCTTACTTTAAGCATCTATTCCTGTAACCCAAATTTCAGTGTCTGTATCCTGTAAGAGAAGAATCTAAATATATCCAGTGCTGCAACTGTAAAAGAAGAGGAGAATTCAATATAGGCCATGACCCAGAAGAGCACTTTAGCATATGCTCCACTTAAAGCATATAAGGAATTCTGTTTCAGTAATACTCAGCTACTTGATTTCCATGGGATCATTTTAACTTCTTAAAATTGAACAATCTTATGTACTGAGATGCTATAAAGGAGGGTGGTATATGAAGATGGGACTGCAACCCAGAGCAAGAGCTGATGAAAAATTGGACATGAGCCAGTAATGTGCACTCAGGTTGGACCTGCTCATTGCAGGGGGTTGGACTAGATGGTCTTTAAAGGTTCCTTCCAACCCAAACTGTTCTATGATTCTAAGATTGTGTACCACAAATATAGTTAGCTCCGAGTCTCTCTCCACTGCGGTTTTCAACTCTGCTCCTCCAGTGTCAGATAGTTCAGTCCCTCATACTTTCTTAAGCCACATGTTTTGCTCCAGTGGAGTAAGTTATTTTGCCTTTCCAAACCTGAAAGTAATTCTGGGATGTTGCACTTGTTAAATGAATACAGGTAAGTGGACAGAACTAAGTGTCAGTTCAGTTGGATGAAACTGAATCCATTACTGAATGGTCCCCAAAAGACAGTGTGTGGGTAAATGCACAGTAGGAATGATAGATGTGCAGAGAGGCCTCTTACAAACTCTCCGACAGCTATAAAATACACAAATATTTTATAGATGGAATACTGGTCAAATGTGGAGTGTACCCATCAGAGATGCTTCCTCCATCTGGCTACAGCCCAGGAAAGTGATTGTGTGGGCAAATAAAAGCATTCGATTGTCAGTGTTAGTTAGGTTTCAAGAACCAATGGCTGCTGCCCTAGGCTGCAGTAAAGGTGTATGTCTGTACCTGAATCTTAGGTCTCCTACAATAAGAGAATGAATGCTAAGTATTTTCAGGAGCGTGACCTCCACAACAACACAATACCTTTCAGCAGAGAAAAACCTTTGCTTAAAAATCTTTGTAAAAATCACAATGATTGAAACATCTTCATTGTCAGCAAACAATAAAGCAAAAACCCAGATGAAATAAAAGAAATATGTATTATGGGGTTTTAAGTCTTGTCATACAGGAGAAACATCAAGCAATCAATAGAAGACAGAAAAGATGATAGCTATTTAATTTCCACAGTGAGATTAAACAATTTTAATCACTTACAAACATGGCTACTTTATTTTAGTTACATATGAACAGCTATAATATTCAGCCTGAAAACTGAAATGACAGAAGTGGCAAGACTAGCTAAGAGTGGGAGAACTGAGGTGATCTACCATAATCAAATAGAGTTTAAAGAGAGTTTGAAAACAAACACTGGTGTTTAACTATTTTACAAAACCTTTTGGAGACAGAAGGAGAGAAAAAAATTGGTTAATTTCTCACACCCATCTATGTATTCCTAATGAGAACAAAAATCTCAGGAGATAAATTACAGATAATGTTGGTACTTAATATATACTTAATATCATCTTAAGGTGGGGAGAATGAATACACCTCTGTGTCAGAGAGGAAGAAGCTACTTTGGGAAATTAAAACCCAGGATTTTTATTTTGAAGCAATCATTAGTTGGTGATACATCTGCTAGGTATATTAATTGAAACTGTCAAAGAAGATTAGTTAGGATGAGTACCATAACTGTGAGAAAACCCAAAATAAGAGATATATTCTTTAGTTCTCTTCCCATTTGGATGTGTAGAACATTGGTTTTGAAGGATGACAGTAGAAAAAACAGTAGTTCCATGTTAGTATCATATAGGTACAAGTGCATTGCAAAATCTTTTCTGTGCTACTAAAGTTGCTACCACACTTCAGAAGGGGTGACACAGGGAAACTGGAAAGTCTGTCGATGGGTTTCATTAATCCAGCAGTCCTTAGGTGTTAGGAATCATTGCTTTTTCCTTCCATCTCTTGACTTTCCAGCAAGGGTTTGGATGATGGCACTTCTCCACCCTCTGCTCCTTCATCTGAAAAATGACAGAATTAAACATTTATACCACACACATTCTCACAGCTTTTTTAATGTAGCCAAATATTTGGGTTCACTGATCACCTCTGTTTGGATTGGCTCTTTACTACCACACTCATGGGTGCTTTAGAAAGAGAGATTAACTCAAAAGATCAAGAACTTGCAGAGGCATCTTCCAAAAGCAATTGCCCATTGGTGTTGATCTGCCTGCTCCTTGCACATGCTGATCAATGCACATTTGGTTGCAAGAAACAAACTGGAGATAACTTTTATCTCCAATTTTTATTACTGTTATTCTTTTTTTCTGGGTCATTTCCAAAGTCAAGTTAGAATACTGCATTCCTCTGAGCATTGCTTGGTTTCAGGTAGATAACTGGCATGTTCATAAACTGTGATGTTCTCTGGCTGACCTTCTTTGCAAAGACATATCTAGGAGAATTCACCCTGTCTTCACAAGATGAGGGGATTTTTTGTTCCTCTGATTTGGAAGTTCACGCTTTGCATAGGTTAGAGTTGAATGCTTATGTAAGTAAAAGCTCTCCAGTGTGTGTGGTCATTAGATGAAGAGTTCCACACTGAAGTTTTTGATGCTCAAATTCTCTCATTGAGAAACAGGAACTCCTCTTGCCTCCATTTCCTTGAAAAGCATAATCATTTTCACACTGCCTTCAAGTCCCACATGGCATTACCAGTGCTAATAGAACAGTTTGTATACCCAAATCTAAGACGGCCCATAGCTTTTGGGGGCAAGGAGAGGTCTGCTGCTCAGCATATCTGGCTGTACCATCTTCCATTTTAATAGTTGTAATCTAAGGGGTACATTTTCAGCTATTTGCCCTGGAGACTTGCCACAAAATATCAGAAATAGACAAGAGAGTTATATATCTTGGTCTGTACATATCACAGCAAATACATACTGCTGTACACAATTCATCAGCTAAAGCTCTTGGCAGAAACCACTTGATGTTGTAAGCCTGCTTGGAGGTTTGGAGGCTGCAGAGTTTTATCGTGGTAAATTAAGAACTGAGTTATTTGACACCCATCAGCATTATGTAGCACAGCACTGCTGAGAAAAGGGAGGCAGAGCAACCTCCTCTGTTGGCTGTTTCTGTGTGGGGTTTGGATGTCTAGTACTAGTGGAGTCTTGCAGACAGAGTAGAGGAAAACAGTTTTGTTAGAGGAAATCTGATCTCATAGTTGGTAACACTTAGGTGTGCAACAGGTGCTAAGCTGCTGAGTGTACCAAAATAGTTATACACAGTCACCTAGAAACAACTCAGCAAACAATAAAGGTTATTGGCAGAATGGTACCCTAATGCAGATTACCAAATGTGGGAGACCAGTATAGCCTCTTTGCTCTCAAACTTCTTGCAGACTCCTCTTCAACCTTTGGATCACCAGTGACACCAATTAACTGTTTAACATGGTTCCAGTATGGCCTCTCACCAGACCACCTGTGGAAAGTCTCAGCCCTCCAAAATTTATGCACCATCAGAGGATGATCAGACAGGATACAGATGGTCTTAATTTCAGAGTTAGGCTCTGAGATAAACAGCTGGTGTCAAAATCTCTCCTGTCCATCTTGTGAGAACATTAATTTGGTGCAGCTTGCAGAGTACATGGAAATTTTATCACACAGCTATGATCCCTGTATATTCATAAAGAATAAAGCAAAGTCTCTTTTTTCTTCTGAGCCAGACAAAAGGTATTAGCTCATCCTGTTCTTGACCTTTTACTATGACAGCAGCTGACAGCATTTTAGAAAGAGAGGAAATGTATGATCCAATGAGCATTAGCTAAATTTGAAGCAAGATGGAGAATCCTCCTCGCCATTTCCCATATCTTCCCAGAATCTCTCAGAGTAGAAAAAAAATAGGGCATACTTTATATAGCCATATGTTCCATCTTCTCCACTTTTCTCATTTATCCAACTTCTTTGTTCTGAGCTGGAAATGGCCTTAATTTTTTTAACAACTTATCATTAAAGCCATAAACAGGCAAAAGGAGATGCCCGTTAGAGCCCCAAACGTTTCACAGACAAACTGTTTCCCTGTCACAGCATTTGAACTTCCAAACTTTCTTTTCATTTTCATGAATTCTCCTCATTTTCCTTGCTGTCTTATCAGAAGTTTAACTTACAACATGATGGGGCTGTAATTCCCATCTGATATTTGTGGAATTCCCAACCCCCAAAGGCATCCAAGCAGTCACAGTGGACCTAACTGCATTCTGTATTCATTTCATATTCTCACTACTGCAAACTGCTGATAACAGAAACTGCTCTTTCCAGGCACGTGCTGTCAATGACAAAAGCAAAGGATAATTCCATACTCTTAATTGTTCTTCAAATCGTGGCAATGCTGGTCCTTATATTTGTAAGAAAGCATTAGTACATTTTGCTAAAACTAATGTAGCTGTGTTTCATTTCTTCTTCTTAATGCATTGGATGGGCACCAGGAGAGGAGGATTATTGCATCTGGAGGGCTAAGTACTTATTTTATACTGTGTTGTAACATTTCTTTTAACAAGACTTTCACTCTTTCATGATTAGTTTTATCCAGGGGAAAAAAAAAGATCGAAGAGAGAAATCTTGCACGCTTTAAAAAATAGATTCTTTCCGACTACTAAACTTTCCAGAGGCCAAAATGAAACAAACATGAGGAACTTATCGGCAGCTGTTGTATTCTTTTGTGCATTGTTTAACATGGTTAACATGGTGCATCTCCCTCAAGGTTCACTGCTCTAAACAATACAAAGGTTAGTTAAACATAATGTAGCAATTAATATTTCAGTGAGTTGGACTGGTCACTTCACTTCCACAGCTCCTGACACTAACAACTATATAAATTCCCATCTAGCTCCCCTTTGATAAGGGAAACAGTTCTCTCCTGCTGGAGCCTGACCCCTGGTCATGGTGCATGAACTGTGCCAGATGGAAAAACTATTCGGAATAAAAAACCCAGTAATATTTGAAAACCAAAGCATTAAATGTTAGGTGACTGTCTGTACTTTGGAATGGATTTCCAGTGCTCCAGTTGCACACACCAGAAGGAGAAAATCTGAGAATCCAAGGACCCTCCACTCCTCAGCACAGACCTGCCTCCCACTGTGCTGAACCCACACCACTGCTGCTCCTGGATGGGGGACCACCTGTTGCAGTGGCATTTGTCACGGCAGCAACAGTGATGGGCATGAGAAGAAAATGTTACTCCAAATCAGAACCTAAAAAAGTAGAGGCAACACATGCTCAGGGCCAACCTACAATTCTCACTTCGTAGGCATTAGAAACCAGATTTTTCTGAATCTGAAAATCCCCCAGAAAGTAAAAAGAATTCAAATGTAAAGCTGGTGTTGATTAGACCTGTGCTAAATCAACAGAGCACCTTATCAAATTAAAGGACATGGCAAAATCGGACACTGGTCTCAGGTAGCGAAGTTGAAAGCCTACTAGCAGGAATAAATCACTGTAAACCCTACTCTTAATGTATATGCCCGAGTTAGGATAGCTGTAATTGGATTAACAGTACAGCTTGCTGTCTTGTGGTAAGTTATTACAGTGCAGGAGTAGATCACAATTTACAGCTGGAGTGATGGTTTTTCAAGCTGCCCAGCAATGCAACTGTGTTTGCTCTTCCCGAGGGGAACTGGAATGCAGTTCCCAGCACCCTTCCCCAGGCTGCTGAACACTGAATCTGTGGGTTGATATGGCAGAATTAGTCTGGGTTAAAATTAACTTTTCTCATCAGGAGGTGCAAGTGGTAAGTGCTTTGCAAGGTTGAATTTAATCCTAAATGAAGAAATAAATATTAGTATTGACATCTAAACTGCATGGTGGCAGAAGTCTTAAGGAGAAAGCAAAGGACAACCGCATAAAAATGTCAGTTTCTTGCATGTGCAGCCATTACCTTCTGAAACGGAGAGCTCAGCCAGTTTGTGTGGCAGGTCTGAAGTCCCAGCGCCAGCAGGAGATCCCAGAATATCTGGTAAGGCATTCCGGCGGCCTGCCCGTCCTGATGCTGCAAAATCTGTGACCACAGGCTCCACATCAGTCATTGCTGACTCCTCTCCTCATAGCAACCAACACCTGCATATGGAACAAACACAAGAAGAAAACAGCTGTAGCCCGGATGGATGCTAATCACCTGGTGAACAAGACAATAGCCATAGGCTTTGCCCCATGGATCTTTTGTTATTAAAAGCCACATATTTCAATACTGAGTGCTTAAGCTTTATTTGTATCCCAGAAGAAGATAAAAGAATCTCTGTGCATTTCCTGACATTGCCTTTTGCACATCAAACTAGCACAATGAACAGCTCTGTACCTACAAGAAACCTGTGGATAGGGTCAGCAAAAGCCCTTTCTGCCAGCCACTCGTATGTCTTTTTATGACCTGATCCCTCTTTCTAAGTTTTGCCATACAACCACTTGGAATGAAACTGAAACTCTATTTGGTCATACTGTCTCTATGAAGCAAAGCATGTTTTCTTTATTATGAAACTTTAGATTCTTAGATTCTTACTTAGAATGTTGTTAGAACTCCTTTCACAGAGGAGCAAATTGTACAAAAAAGATCTCTCAAAAAACAAACTAAAACTCTTCATAAAATTTCTTTATCCTGCAGGTATCAAACCATTTGTTTTCCTCTGCTCCTTGTTAGCTTGGTTTAACCTCAGCTTGTGCATGTGACTTTTATCTCATAATTGAATCCTGGAAATAATAGAACCAACAGTGCTCTGCTCCCTTGATCTCTGTCTCAAAGCCCATTGAATTGAATGGGAAAACTCCTGCTGACCAAAATGGGCTTTGGATCAAGCACAGAGATGTTTGCAGGATCACACCCCAGGGCACCAGCTGAAGTGAGAACACCTGGAGGAGAAGGAGGTGGTACTCAGCTGCAAGTGGCACATAGGGATAGTGTACGAAATTTGCCATTAGCAACTGTATTATTAAGAATCACAAAAGACTATCATATTGTACACAATAACTTCTGAAAATTGATAGAGTAATTTCTAATAATTAGACATGAATTGTTCAATTAAAAACAATATTTACTTGTTCTGTATGAATGCAGTTCTGTGTGCAATGTGGGAACAGGAACGTTGTCTCCTGTGTAAATATGGTCAGTGCTTTGTGTGGGAAGGGATACAGATGGGGCTGGAGACCAATCTAATGGAAGGCTGCCAGCTTTTGGTTGACAGCTGGCTGTATTTAGAATAAAAATTGGACAAGGAAAGTCTCAAACATTTTAGTGTTATTCATGTAAGAAGCAAAGCATCATAGTCCCCTTTCTAAAATTCTGCTAAGGCTGGGAAATAGCAGTGCTCTCATTTCATGGATAGAAGAACCAAGGCAAAGAGAGATCAAACATGACCTGTTCTGATGTGCAGGAAGGGAGGGACAGAAATTTGATTACTGATGCTGACCTGGCATTTCCATGACAAAGGACTTACTCCTTTTCTCCCTCAAAGTGCCTTTCAGCTATGTCACTCCAACAAGAAAAATAAATATTCTTAATCTTCTTTGTATCTCTAAATACTTCATCATAAAAGAAATTAAACCTTCTTAGCAAGAAACGAAGGCATGAGTAAAATCTGCAAGTCTGAAAGATGAAGTGAACATGCAAATAAACCACTTTCTTTAACCAAAGTTAAAGAAAGTTCCCGTCTTGCATGAAAACAGCCTGCTCAAATCTAAATGAATCATCTCCATAATTAGCAAAAATATAAAAACTATACACGGACATTCAAGAATGCAACTTTGAGAAAATATACAAAGTATTTGTATCAACATTCTCGGTTAGATATAGCATTATACTATGTATTCATTAAAATGGGTGAGGTAAGCACTTGACGCAACCTGATCTAGTTGAAGATGTCCTTGCTCATTGCAGGGGGTTTGGACTAGATGACCTGTGAAGGTCCCTTCCAACCCCAACTATTCTATGATTCTATGACAAGAAATATCAAAATAAGGAGAATGAATCCATATTTAGAGACATAGTCTCATGGCTTTTTGTGGGTATTCATGTTTACTTAACTGTAGGTGTCCTAAATATATTTCTCTACAGGCTCACTGGAGCAAGTAAAGAGACTGTAAATTACACTTCAGAATAAAAAAATACTGAGGATCTCCTTTTGCTTAGTAAAGCTGTTAAAATTTGTTCCCAATACCAAAATACTAGTGTTGCTGCAGTTCCTGCCCATTTCATTTCAGCCATTTAGCTGGTGAGACAATACTACTATTGTGAGCTGACTGCTGTTTACATAAAGATCTACAGAATGACATGAACATCAAAACACACCAAAGACTTTCTCAAACCTGTCCTGTGGACTTTTTTTTAATATTTTCTCTCCTGCATGGATGTTTTGGTCCCTAAATTGTTACTTTTTAAATACAGAAAATCTGCTCTGCAACTCATGCTATATGAAACTACTCTCTTCTGTAGCATGGTTTCATCTTGCCCACCTTATGCACTTGTTTCAAATCCTTCCCTTTCCTCTCCAGCTCATCTCTTTCTCCCCTGATGTAATCTGCCTTCATTGCATAATACGAGACAACCGAGGAAGATGATGAAGGACACAGTCTGACACACTTCCATGTATGTGAATTTTGAATTATGCACTTGATTAAAATAGTGTGCAGAGACAAATCTAGAACGTCAGACAGAAAATCAGCTGGTCATTATCCATCAGTCCAGTGGCCATAACTCAAACGTAGCTATCTAAAAATAATAGAAGTACACCATCCTTTATATATGTAGCAGTTACCATCATGTTTTCTCCTTTGCTTTTTCTATACTACACTTAAGGTATTAGAGGCTGAGAAGAAGACTTGAGTTCAAAAGTAAAGGGCTATCCACTGCGCTAGCACAGGATGTTCTCCAAGTATATCTGAAAGATGAGGGACTACCCCAGCAGGCTTAGAATTGACATTACAAATCAAAACTTAAGTCCCTTTAAGTCCATATAAAAAAAAAATTAAGTCCACCTCCAAACATACGACAGACCATATTCAAAATAGCTTGCTGCTGTATGCTACATAAATGGCATTTCATTCTTTAATGTTCCAAGGAATGTCTTCAATTTCATTCTGATGCTCTCTTGTAAGAGTATTTTTTAGGGCCTAGATCCAAGCAAGGATATAAAAGTTTCTCCACTCCTCATCTGTTTCTACCTTTAATTTTGTTAACATTATCTGTCAGGAAATAACTACCTTTTTTGGCATCTTCTTGCATCTGTTATGTGTAGTATTTTTCATGTTTCCTCACAGAGTAAATAATAATCACAGTGGGCACAGCATCTATTTTCCCAGTTCTACTCCTCCTCCCACTGGCAACATCTCCTTCAGCTTCACTGAACTCCCTTTCCTGTAGCCTTACCAAAGTTAAAGATACTTACACCTTGCCAATGCCTGCATGCAGTTGCTTCTCTCAGCTTCTAAATTACTGTTGCCATTTTTCTCCCATGTCACTGCTCACCAGACTAATGGTGCACAGCTCTAAAAGAATAGTGACAGATTTCCAGAGCAGAAGGTTCCGTACTTCCCCAGCTCCCTTTTTTCCACAGCAAAAACCAGGCGACCCAAAAGCAGAAGGGGACTGGGTGGAAAACAGAGTTGAGCGGGGATGCAGGCTGTTTGCAGAGGATCAACAGTAGAAAGGCAGGTGGACCTGAGAAAAAGCTCACCTGCTAAAATTAGATACCAAAGGCTTTGACTGGCATTCCAACTAGTACTCATCAGTACTCCATGGCACCAGACTAACTTGGCAGCTCATTACTGGATCATGACATAGTGCTAAGGGGTTTTGGGAATACTAGGTTAATCTTTTCATATACGCCTCTGAAATCCCTGCAGGACCAGCCAGAATGCACAACAGACCACTCAGGTGTGCAAGAGAGAAGTGCTCTGCTTGTGAAAACTGGCTACAACCAAAAGTAAAACTCAATCACTGTATCTATCAGACATTTAAGTTAAGTGTCATCAGACAAACCAATAGCAGGTAAACTACCAGTGGGATTTTCTGTTAGCAAGACAGCTCGTTTGTTCATCATTGAATCTTCTTTTGCTGGCAGTACAGACAGACTCTTGGGTGAAAATGAGTCACAGAAGTGATGATAATTTATTTAGGTAAATGACAAAGGAAAAGAACAAATAAGTCTCCTGAAACACCTTGTGTTGAGGATCAAGGGAAAAAATGCTTTACAGTACTCAGCTGTAGCAGGTGCCACAGTCCACATTAAATGTCAGTGCTGTTTCTTCCTTACCCTATCTGTTAGGAAGTAGATAAATCACCACCATACGTATTTGTGAAAGCTCTTTTTTCTTCTGATCTTTTTAATGTCTTACACAGAGACAAAATACTGTTTTTGTTCTGCTTGGAAGGACAAACTATTCCTCAGGAAATGTCAGAAGGTTTCTGACATTGGTATTGTTGCAACTCCACGCAGGAGACTGGACGACCAAACACATCACTCCTTGCCACTCAGGCACTTGTCCCCTCTCAAAACCTTTTCTCTTCGGTCTTATGAATAGTCTGTCTGCACTATCAGAGAAAGCTACACTTCCCAAACACTGTTCCTTTTGAATGCCGCTTAGTAGGAACAAACTGGAAGGCATGAAATCCTCTCACAAACACCTGAAAAATACAATAGCCAAGTAGGACTTTCAGAGCTAGATGAATTTATTTTGTGTCTTGATGGTCTCTTACTGTAAGATGCATTTCAGCACCTTATTTTTTTCAGAAAGAACTGTAGTCTGTTTAGTTGTGTTTAGTTGTTTTTTATTTACTTGTAAGTAATGAGTGTTCTCCAAGCACCTTTACCCCAAAAGCCTGTAGGTTCCAAAGTTTCTAAGTAAGGAGAACAGAAAACTCATTGAATGAAGTACTTCCCACTGTGCAACTGAGATGAAAACCACATCTCCTTGCTATGCAGTTGCCGTGCTTTCACATCCTCTTCTGCTGCAGCTGCATTCTGACGCCTTTGCCTTCTCTTCCTATTCTTCTCAGAATAGGAACATGCTCATGTAATCCTTACGCTTTCTCCTGAATCATTACTGGACCACAGAAATGGAAAAAA